ATGTTGTTGGTTGCCAGAAGTTATTTTTCATCATCAAGTTTCTTCTGTTAATCAATATTCAGGGCATGGTCAAACTTGCTCCTCTCTCTATCATGTTTGTCTACAGATATCACCTGCTTTTGAATGGCACAGCATGTTGGTTGAGCTTGATTTATTTTTAATGGCCGTTGTCCGTACCATCAATATGACTCAGCCAGTCTTTTGTTTTTTAAATCTCAAGAGTTTGATTGCAAAAACAGTTATTAGAATTTCATCTAGAAAAGTCTTCATTTTTTCCTGTTTAATTTTTACAGGAATTGACAGGTTTCAAGCCATGCTTCAGCAGCCTGTGTTAATTGACTTGCGACACGTCATATTCAATTTTCTTTTAATTAAAAAGTTGGCCTTACAATTAGAGAAAGTCTACCATGTGGGTGGTACTTCATGTTTCTCACTTGTGTTGTTTTCATGACACCAACATAGCTGCTGATCTTTTGTCTTTTGCATTTCAAGAGAATTAAATAAAATAAGTTGTGCTCTTTACGAATAATCTTTCCAAGGAAACTTGTCTGTCTGCTTTTACACTTGATGGCCGAATATATATAAATATGTATTTTTTATCGATATAACTGATTAAACAAATGYTTTCTATAAGAGCTGTATATCAATGGCCCCAAGGTGCCTTCAAACTTRTTAAAATCACATTCAGAATTGACATGTAGTATTTTTACAAGAAAAGCTCACATAGAGAGCATTTGTTGCTTTAAAACAAGGATTTTATTTTCAAACTCATTAAGTGTTTGAAATTAGCGAGCTTTTTCTTATATATTTCAATCTTGCCGTAGTCGGGGATATTTAACATTATTAATTTTTGCCAAATTTAGCATATCTCATATATAAAGTCTTCAAATCTAAAGTTTAACGCCGTTAAACTACCAATACAAGTCGCCCAGCTGTCGAATCAAAAACACCGCTATATGTATGAACAATAGTAATGGAAACAGAATGGGATGAAATWATGTTTGTAAATCCTGCTGCCTTACACTGCTTTGTGAAGTCGATAGATTAAAATACAGGGCCACCTGTTCTATGGTCTGTTTATTTTCCTAAGTGCTATTTCTTTGACTGATAAGGTCGATAATAGCAAACTCTCGAGAAATGTGAGGGATATTTGCTGTGTTTATAGTTCCCGGAAGCTCCTTCAAGCCTATATAAAAGTCATTTGGAGTTTCAGCTAGCAACAAATGTTTCATTGACGTTTTTTAAGCGGCTCCTATATTGTAGGACTAAATAGAAAGATGGACGAAAAAAAAGTACAAATGTACTTAGAGCTTTCATCCCGCCATCAAGTGACGATTGTTTTTGAAACTATGGCATCTGTTGGTCTTACGGTGTTCTCYATACTTGGAAACACTATGGTTCTTCTTGCTTCTTCAAGAAATCCACTTCTTCGMCGTTCATTTTACATCTACGTGAATTCTGTAGCTGTCTGTGACATCTTAATGGCTTTTTTAGCCTTGACATTCGCGTGCAGAAGCTCATTGGCGGGAAAATGGGATTTTGGATTTGTTGTTTGTCAACTTCAAGGCTTTATCGTTGCAGGATGTGGTTTTGTCTCWATTCTTCTACTGTCTCTTATAGCAGTTAGTCGATATTGTAAAATGGTACACCCTACAAGATACAGTAAAATCTTTACTCAAAAGGTTTTCCACCTTTCTAACATTTTTTCGTGGATATTTATTTTTCTACCTCTTTCCTTGTGTACTGCTTTCCTTGAGTTTTCCTTCAATCCAGGAATCTTGGTCTGTTCCCTTAATTTCGATGAAATCCCCTTCTTTGCCGTATTTTGGGCACTCTTCTATGGCTCCAACTTTGTCGTGATTTTCTTTTCTTATTTCAAAATCTGGCGTTTCGTGAAGAACCACACAGAAGCRATGTCCAACTCGCAAGTCAACTCAGAGGAAGTAAAAACCGTGCGTATCTTGTTTGCGGTTGTCTTTACGTTTACGTTATGTGTAACGCCTTTGTTCGCATGTGGTTTTGTGGACACAGTATTTGGGTTGTATACGCTTCCACGTCAAGTTTACGTAACGGCTGTGATGATGTATGGAGCGAGTAGCTGCGTRAATCCTTTGATCTACGGTTTTATGAACAAGACGTACAGACAAGAGTTCATRAAACTTTTTTGCTCGTTGAGATTCTGGCGTTTATCACAAGCAGACGTTTCTCCGTCTAGTGCTTAAAACAGCGCACTTTCTGATCAATGKATCATGGAACTTTGTTTACGTTTATATGTAAAATATCTACTGTATTATTTCTTGATTTAAAGAAATAATAATTCGGTAATTGCTAACAGTAATAGTGGAAAACTAATGGTGGGCAGCTATGTGAAGGGGACACTTGTGTGGGTTGCATCGGTGTTTTTTATGAAAGACTGATAAAAAGATAAATTGAATAGCCATTATATGTTCTCTTTACAGAATCGTTGTAAGGAAAAACTGAAAACTGCTTTTAGTGAATATTTAGACGGTCAAAAAAATGTACGAAGACTACTTTTGATTTCCCATCATGCTTTGTAAGGAGATGGGGTTGCGGCAAAATTAAGATAAATTTATGGTTTCAAAGCTTATTTGAAATTTTAACTTATGAAATTAAATTATTATTATCTTAGATTATTCCTTGAGGCAGTGATGTTATGATATAAAAAGGGGCTTCCGTTCTTGAATGGTTCAATAATTTGTTGACCAATGACTTCAGCCTCTTGGGCTCTTGACGTGGATTGTTACTTAGTTGGCCTCTTGAAGTGAATATCCTGCCATTACCAACCTCACTTGTTTTTTTGACGAGGAGAGAATTCAATGCGCGAATGAAACAACTCTCCGTCAACACCTAGTATTCTTCAACGTCTATTCCAAAAAAAACGTTATTCGAAGTTTACTTTTGAARTGTACGCMTCGAGCAAATATCCGYCCACTCTTTGTATTATTTGAAAAGCGAAAAACTATCAAAGTTCATCTGGCTGTAAATGAAAAACTTCAAGCCTTTTAAATAAAAGGCTTTTATTTGAAGATTCCTGTAAGGAATTCTATGAAGATGACAACAAATGACGCTAAAAGTAAAATGGCCTCAGATCTTCGTGCAAGAAATACAACATCCGTTATCTTCGAGGTGGCATTCAGTACTGTGGTTATTCTTTGTTCTCTTRTTGGCAATTTYCTGGTTCTGTTTTCTACTTATCGAAATTCAGCTCTTCGTAAGGGTGTTTACATCTATATTTTTTTCTTGTCTTTGAATGATKTGACAATGACGATGTTAGCTGTATTRATGTCTTTGAAAAGTTTGGTTCTTGGMTATAATGCTTATGGAACGATTGCCTGCGATGTTCAAGGAGTTTTGATCTTGACTTCATTTTTGGTATCTTTATTTTTGATGTCATTCATAGCAATTAGCAGATACTTCAAGATGTTAAAGACTCCAATCTATAACAGAGTTTTTAACTCGAAATTTGCTTTTGTGTCAAGTATTTGTATGTGGGTGTTYTGGAGTCTGTTTTGGTGTGTTTCTGTAGCTCTGTCGGATCGCCTTGTCGAGTTTCATCCAGGTTTCTGCATGTGCATACTGGACTTCGATAAGATTTTTCTCTTTAAAGTAATCATGTTATTGTCTGTTTTTTGTAACTACTTTTTGATTGTATTTTGCTATTTTAAAATCTGGCGTTTCATCAAGAGCCACTTCGAAGCGATGTCAAACTCGCAAGTCAACGCAGATGAAGTAAAAACCGTACGTATCCTGTTTGCGATTGTCCTTGTGTTTACGTTATGCATGTGTCCGATGTTCCTATGTGGCCTAGATGCTGTATCTGGTATGTATAAACTACCTCGGCAACTTTACTTAACAGTTGTGATATTGGTCGGACTGAGCAGCATTGTAAACCCAGTTATCAACGGTTGTATGAACCAAACGTACCAACAAGAATTCAAAAAAATACTTCACGCAATGAATATACGACGTTGCAGAAATCGTAAAGTGGCTATATCATTTTCGAGAGAGCAAATAGAATGACTTCGAGCAACTTGCGAAGTTTAACATATGCTAGGTGGACATATCTTTCACTCACTCACGTCGCTGTCTTTTCGGTGAACAGTATGTTATATTTAACTGCGGCTTTTAACCTTCCTGCTCAAGAGCCGCCATGCAGACTATGTGTAAAAGAGTATGAGTAAAGCAGAAGGCAATTGTTAACGGTGCCTTCTTTCCTGAACTCGTAATTGTCATGCCCACTTATGGATGCCGATGTATGCAAAACTATGAACAAACCTGAGGGCAAAACCGCAACAAGTCTTTTCACCCGTTAGAGCAGCTCCAAGTGGCCTTTCCTGCTCGTCTACCCAAAGAAAAAGAGAGTAACAAAGATCATAAGTGGATGTTAAGAAAATACTACGGACTAGATCTTTGATTTACTGATGAAGTTCTTCGCTTGAGGAAGTGTACAATAAAAGTTAAGGCGCTGATACACTTTGCAAGACCTCTAAAGCTTTTACGTCATGTATCGCATGCGCAGTGCATTTTAGGATATGTTTGTGACAGAACATGGTCGATTTCTTTTGTTTTCACTAGAAACTGATCTCACAATGCATTGAAAATGAAGTAGTGTCGTAAAAGGTTCAGAAGTCTCAGCAACCTGCAAAATGTTTTTGACCGAGGTATGCTGGATGTCGAAATGAAGATGGTGTAAGTGAGAAATGAGAAAGTAAGCATATGCTCTAATAGTATTTTTAACTCGGAAATTGCTAGAAAAGTTGCTGGATGGGCGATACACTATTCAATGACATTGCAATGCGTTACGAAAATTAGACCTGAGTTCTACTTCGTGCAACGCTACATGCTACAAAAAACGTTCCTACTGTAGGCAACACCTGTTACATCGTACAATTCTTTCGGAACTTCTTTCACAACGGCGATGTAAGACAAGTTTCTGAGAAGGTTGAACAGTGTAATAACAATCAATGCTAAAAGCTGAGCTTGTAATTTTCTCTACTGTACTTTTGAATGTCAAAATAAATTTAAAAAAGTTTTTTAACCATGCCTTGGTACAAGAACTACTTAATCATCTCCCATCATGCTTTGCAAGGAAATAGGATAGCGTCAGAACTTCTCTAAATAATTACGTCACACCAAAATATTTTACTTTTGAATGTCAAGGATTATAGTCGCTAGAGGGGATCAGAGCGACTGCATATCAGATAAAAAGGAATATGAGCAATATTTGATACATGATATAGATCAAAACATGATGCATTAAAGTTCTTTTTTCAGAAAGATTATCAATAGGTCCAAATTTCCTTCAGTTCTTTAATGGGTTTAATAATTTTCTGACCAATTACTACAGCTGTTGAACTATTGACTTAGATTGGTACTAAAAAACAGCACTCAAAACAAGTATCCATTTCAGTTACCCCCTTGAGGTGAATTTCCTGCCGTTGTTTTTGCCTACTAAAGCATTCAATACCAGTTTTCAATGACGAGGAAACAGTAAGTATGCACAAATGAATAAAATCTCCGATGACGATTCTAATAACGCCTCCTATTCCAACAATCTTCATTCGGCCGCGTTTATTTTTTGAAGTGCGAATGAGTAAAATCGCTGTCGACACATTGTTTACTCAGTAAAAGATTTCAAGCTTTCTTTTTATTTGAAGATTCTGTGAGGTATTCTTTGAAGATGACAGCAAATGACGCTAAAAGTAAAATGGCCTCAGATCTTCGTGCAAGAAATACAACGGCCGTTATCTTCGAGGTGACGTTCAGTACTGTGGTTTTTCTTTGTTCTCTTATTGGCAATTTTCTGGTTCTGTTTTCTACTTATCGAAATTCAGCTCTTCGTAAGGGTGTTTACATCTATATTTTTTTCTTGTCTTTGAATGATATGACAATGACGATGTTACTAGTACTAATGTCTTTGAAAAGTTTGGTTCTTGGCTATAATGCTTATGGAACGATTGCCTGCGATGTTCAAGGAGTTTTGTTGCTGGCCTCGTTTTTGGTATCTTTATTTTTGATGTCATTTATAGCAATTAGCAGATACTTCAAGATGTTAAAGACTCAAGTTTATAACAGGGTTTTTAATTCGAAATTTGGTGTGTTCTCGAGTATTTGTATGTGGGTTTTTTGGAGTATGGTATGGACTGTTGCCGTAGCAGTGTCGGATCGCCTTGTCGAGTTTCATCCAGGTTTCAGTATATGCACAATTGACTTAGATAAAACTGTTTTATTAAAACTCATTGTGTTACTCTCAGTCGCTTCTAACTACATTGTGATTGTGTTTTGCTATTTCAAAATCTGGCGTTTTGTCAGGAGCCACACCGAAGCGATGTCAAACTCGCAAGTCAACGCCGAAGAAGTTAAAACCGTACGTATCTTGTTTGCGATTGTTCTTGCGTTTACGTTATGCATAAGTCCCATGTTTTTATGTGGGTTTGTAGACGCTGTATTTGGTATGTATAAACTGCCTCGTCAACTTTACTTAACAGTTGTATTAATGGTCGGACTGAGCAGCATTGTAAACCCAGTAATCAACGGTTGTATGAACCAAACGTACCAACAAGAATTCAAAAAAATAATTCACGCAATGAATATACTACGTTGTAGAAATCGTAATGTGATTATATCATTTTCGACGGAGCAAATAGAATGACTTCATGCATTCAGAACTCATGTTTTGAACTCGAAGATTGGGTAAACCGTGCGGAGTTATGCTAGGTAGACATATCTGTCACTCACTCGCTCACTCACTTTCTGGTAAACTGCATACTAACATTTATTACTTTAGCCTGCGATGCTTGTTTCCCCGGTTTTATCCCTTCAGTTTATTCATTTTGCTATTTTTATCACATATAGGATTCGTTATCAAATATTTATACATGTATATATTAGCTTACTAACCGATGTATATGTTATTATACTGAGAGTCAACCGTGTATTAATAAAAGTATTATCTTATCATAAAATGACAGGATTTTAGCTTTCTGTGCTCAAGGGTTTTCTTTCTAAAGAAATGAATTATACTGACGGTGATTGTTTATAAAAGCTAATAATCCGTCGATCCACATTACAGACACAGATCTRTCTAAATCAGTAAACTAATTTCACTGMCYTCAAGGCATTTTGGTTTTGTMAAAAGGTCCTTCAGTTCTTGAATGGCTGTTTTGGACATGAGTTGAGCTACTSACTTAAGCWAATACTCAAAATGATGCATACACTTCAAGTGTTTTGATAGCCTCTYAAGGCGAATATCCTGCCATTTTTCTTCTTCTAAAGCTTTCAATAAATAGCCGCTTTCATTGGCTTTTTACGAGGAAAGGAAATCTACTCTAACATATTTCAAGGCGGCAAGCGAGACTGTAGAAAATCTTAAAAGCATTTTTATTTCTTTAAACACAGAGTTCATCTTGTACTCAGTGACTTTATTGGAAATATCCGTGAGGAATTCTTTGAAGATGACAGCAAATGACGCTAAAAGTAAAATGGCCTCAGATCTTCGTRCAAGAAATACAACATCCGTTATCTTCGAGGTGACATTCAGTACTGTGGTTTTAATTTGTTCTCTTATTGGCAATTTTCTGGTTCTGTTTTCTACTTATCGAAATTCAGCTCTTCGTAAGGGTGTTTACATCTATATTTTTTTCTTGTCTTTGAATGATATGACAATGGTGATGTTAGCTGTATTGATGTCTTTGAAAAGTTTCATTATTGGTTACAATTCTTTTGGAACTATTCTTTGCTATTTTCAAGGAGTTTTCATCATGTCCTCTTTTTTGGTRTCTTTATTTTTGATGTCATTTATAGCAATTAGCAGATACTTCAAGATGTTCAAGACTCAAGTTTATAACAGAGTTTTTAGCGCTAAATTCGTTGTTGTCTCAAGTATTTGTACGTTTCTTTTCTGGGGTGTTTTTTGGTCGATTGCTGTAGCTGTGTCTGATCATCTTGTCGAGTTTCATCCCGGGTTTGCTATGTGCATGGTTAACTTAGATRAAGATGTTCTATTTACAGCCATCGTGTTACTATCAGTTGCTTCAAAATACTTTGTGATTTTCTTCTGTTATTTTAAAATCTGGCGTTTTGTTAAGAGCCACACCGAAKYGATGTCAAATTCGCAAGTCAACGCMGAGGAAGTTAAAACCGTTCGTATCTTGTTTGCGATTGTTCTTGCGTTCACGTTATGCGTAAGCCCCATGTTAGTATGTGGGTTTGTAGACGCTGTATTTGGTATGTATAAACTGCCTCGTCAACTTTACTTAATGGTTGCTTTCATGGTCGGACTGAGCAGCATTGTAAACCCAGTTATCATCGGTTGTATGAACCAAACGTACCAACAAGAATTCAAAAAAATACTTCATTTAATGAATATTTGTAAAAATCGCCGCAGAACAGTCGTTATATCATTACAAGAGAAAAGGCACAAATAGAATCCAMTTATTGTATTCAAAACTTTATGAGGGAATATACATTTACATTACAAGTATTCTCCATGTTCCGTGTGGCCAAGAAGAGATAAGACAAGAGTCAGCTGTCTTTTCCATCGTGTGGTTTTAGAATATTATCAAGCGTTCAGGATTGGATAAGCAGGGATGAAAATGATGCAACCTCGTTCCCAGGCCCTAAGGGAAGGGATAAAGGGCCTGTGAACGAGGTTTAAAATGAAGTGCAATTCAACAAAAATATTTATCGGAAGTTGGGGTGGGCTTTGACAATTTCTATTGCACAGGAAGCCCATGCATGTTTTTTTAAAACACTTGTTTGTTTGCAGGTCGCCCACGTGACAATTGTATTGGTGTGTTGTGTTATGTACGTAAATAGTGAATCCAAACCAGTCACTGCATTGTTGGACGCAAGGTGGTCGTGGACACCATTAGCTTTAGAAGCCAGGTAAGAGTTTTACTCAGTTGATTTTTGTCCATTTTGTTACTTTGAATTGATTAATTACTTATAGATTTTGACATATTTTACCCTGTTTTGCGGCTTTGTTTTTGGCATTTCAAATTATGTTGTCTGGATGGTTCTGTAACATTTGTTGTCATTGTATTCCGCAGTGAATTCCTGGCTCGAGAAAGTAACGAGAAATTCTGGAAATTTGTAGAATTATCAAAAAATAGCCACACATTAACAAGTGATTTAGGTAGGACAATAAGCCTTGTTATTACAAGTATTGTATGATAATATCCCTTTCTTCTCTATTTTCGTTGTTTTTGATTTGTATTGGCTATTTATTCTCATGTCCATTTTTTTCAGATAATTATCAATTCATATTAAAGAATGCTGGGAAGCTATTAAGTCCTTTAGGATTAAAATTACTTAAGTTCTCATTATCTATACGAAACTTTTCGCCAAGGATAGAATTGTACAATAAGGTAAGATGCAATGATAACTAACGTTTTTTGTCCATGAAAAAGCTGTTGATGATGAAGATGATTTTAATGGCAATAACGATCAAGGTRTCATCAGCAATCATGATAGGGATGATTCTGATAACAAGTGTTAGTAACTGAATGATGACAATAATAACGTAATTACATAAATGATGATGATTAAAAAWGATGATAATAATGTTAATTCAGAATATTAGGTCGTTCAGTCGAAAGTGCTGAATTTGCTGATGACAAAGATTGTGACGACGATTGCAGTGCATGATGGAACATATATTGCATCTATTGATGTCAATATGTTGTTAATTACGTGGTATGGCTAGCGTGATATTGTAATGATATCATAATGATGTAATCTTGTATTTTATAGCTATCACGYGATGTTCCAAATACGTCACRCTGTAGTTCGTTCATCCAAGTTGGTCCTAAAGTAACATGTGATTTACAAGAAGCAAAGACGTTAATTGAGAATAATAACAACCTGTAAGTATGGACCRYAAYGATGGCGGACGATACTAAAGTAACAAGGTTTTAAACTAATAGTACCATTAATATTTTGTTGTTCTGTTGCAGTTCGATACCTCAAATATATGATTTCGATCACCATTACCCAAACTCTCAAGACAATCCTCTAACCGTCGTCCTTTACGGTCAAATTGGAACACCATCCTTCCATTCATTTCATGAAGTTCTGGTTAAGCTGTCAACTTCTGGTGACGTTCATTATGTGTTGCGTCATTACGTCAAGGTTAGTATGACGTCACATTTACGTCACATACTAGAATTGAACGATAGTATCTCATGGTAATAATGTTATGGATTATTTAAGCTCCATTCAATATTGGCTTTCTATTTTCCGTTACATTAATGTGTTTGTTTCTTCAACTTTATATCACTTACACGTCGCTGTCCATTTTTCAYACATTTTRMGGTTTTAATCTTCTTTTTATGATGCACAGACTCCGTCCAAGWCCAAGGTTCGTTTATCAGGCTATGGTGTCGAGCTGGCGGTTAAAAAGACCGAATATAAAGCAGTCGACGACACAAAAGTGAAAGAAGACTCTCCAGGGACGATGGGAAAGAACAAGCAAGAAGAAGAAGACGAAGTTGAAGGGTTTTTGTTTGGCAAACTACGAAAACTATACCCCCACCTTAAAGAACAACTCAATCAGTTTAAAGCACATTTAAAAGAGAGTTCMCGTGAAATGGCTCCTCTAAARGTCTGGCAGCTACAAGACCTAAGCTTTCAAGCAGCTCAAAGAGTCCTGTCATCGGACCCAAAAAGTGCCCTGAGAGTTCTCCGGGACCTCAGCCAAAATGTCCCTCGACTCGCTAGGTCCCTTGTTAAAACCAGAGTCAAGAGCGAAGTACGCGAAGAAATTCTATCCAATCAGAAAATATTTACTAAAATTGGAATGGAAGCGGGCGATAGTGTACTGTTTATCAACGGTCGTTCAGTCGATATCGAAGACATGAATCCGTTTGAGATAATGGACCTTCTTCGTGACGAGATTAGTACCCTGGACAAACTATCAACTCTAGGTGTTTCTGGGGAGACTCTCGCCAAGCTGTCAGGTTTGTCAGTGTCAGATGACCATGATTCATATATACTTGACACTAGAGATAACTCGGTTGTGTTTCTCAATGACCTCGAGAGTGACAGGGAATACTCAGGGTGGCCATCTCATATCCAGGAAATCCTGAGACCAACATTTCCAGGAATGATGCGTTATATTGCAAGGAATATCTTTCACGTGGTTTTCTTCGTTGATCCCATGGACAAGATGAGTCTTGAGTTGCTTAAAACCGCTGACGAATTTCTGCAGGCGTCTATGCCTGCTAGGTGAGTAGAATTATAATCATGATGCTATTTTATTTGCACAAAGGCGTCATTTTATTGTACCAATCAGAGYGCTTTGTCTGTGTGAATACAAGTTGTTAAGATTTTCTGGTTTGAGTAAAGCAAAAAATGAAGCGATGATGATACTGATAGTGATATTAAGGTATACATTTCTGTTATTGATACCCATAATTCTCTTTGGGTAGGGTGGGTATTGTGATGGTAGCCGAAGGAAGCAGTGATGTCGATGCCAGGAAAAACAATGCTGCTGTTGCCATTGCACGAGCATTTCACTTCATCAAGAACGAAAAGGATTCCCGACAAGCACTTCAGTTAATTCTTCAGGTAAACACAAAAATATACATAGGTTTTAAGAACATATCCTTTATCTACTGTAACGGCTTTTAACTTCAGGTGTATAACAAAGTCAAGTCCCATACAGACGAAGACCTGACGAAAGGCGTTTACGATATGTTGGTTTCGTGGTTCGGTACTGATGACGCTAACGATGTCCTGGGGCCTGGGTCCGAGCATGATGATGGACGCAAGGAATGGAAACGATTCTTCGATCGTACAGGTTTACAAAAAGTACCAAGAGTGATTGTCAATGGTGTACCTTTAAAAGAAGAAGAACATGAGATGATAGAAGATGCTGTTGTACRGCAAATCCTTTTACAAACAGGATCTATACAACAAGCTGTTTTTATGGTTAGTAAGACTGAGCACCATACTACGTCATTAGGCTAATATGCGTGACGTAACAAATTCAAGAAGCGGCACCAACCATGTGGGATAGTCTAGAAAATCGAACATAGAGCATGCGCAATTAAATCTCTCACTTTGCTTTCTACGCAGTTTTCAACGCAAGCTTTTATACAAGCCGACGTACACTGAATACCTAATTTTTTTTATTTCTCTAGGGCCAGCTTCATCAATATTCAGATATCTACGATCACGTGATGTCTAARCCCAACGTCGTGAAGAGAATGAACAACGTTATTCAGTCACCGGAAGTGAAAGTCATCGACTTGACGGGACAAACTGACATGACTGATGTTAGTGACTACAATAACTTTAAAAAGCTGGACAGTGCACAGATGACAAGCGTTCTTCAAGCAGACATGAAGTATTTTACCAAGAAAGACGAGGAAATGAACCTCAAGTCTGTTACTAACTGGTTGGTTGTAGACTTAGCTAGTGAACAAGGAAGAAACATAATCAGAGATGCTCTAAAACAAGTGGTATGACGTCATTTTCTATAAATAGAGTAGAAATAACACGTGGTAATTGTTTGAGTGTTGATTTCCTTTTTTTGCAGCAATCGTCTCTAAACTSTCGTGTGGGCATAATCCATAATCCTCAAACAACAAGTGAGCCTGCGARCAAGCTGTACATGGCTCGTGCAGTAGAAGCAGTACTTCAATCTAAAGATCACGTGACMCCTTCCATTCTGGAATTCTTGGAGAAACTTCTTGACAACAAAAATGACTTTGAGAAACTTGACGGCGATCTCGATGAAATGATGAMTTTGGTAAAGAGTGTGAAGGTATGATTTAATAAAAGTAGATTTTTCATTGKTTTTTATTGATCAATCATGATTATTTTATGATTTCCTTTTCTCTCTGTTTGTAGAATCTTAAGTTGAAAGTCATCGAGACCAAATTACAGTCYCAGTCCTCTCGGGAAAGAGTTCTCTCYCATCAAGMTTTTTGTAAGACGGCTCTGAATTTTAAACCAGGRGAAATTGGAGTTGTTGCCAATGGMAGGGTGAGTCAATTATTGTCCTGATCGTCGTAGTAATCGCCATCAAATATGATTATCAGCATCATTGATATCATTATAATCAACGTTCTGGTTATTATAATTAACCTTCGTAAAAATACGACATAATTTGCATATGTACTTTGATTGACGCCGTCCATCATGTAGTCTAAGTGTTAGCCTTGATATTGATGCACAGTATTGTGTTGAAGGCGCCCAGTAACGCTAAAATACTTACCATCAACGTGTTTTACTGCAGATCCTTGGTCCWTTAAAGGAAAGCGAAGTTTTCATTACAGAAGATTTCCAACTGCTTGAAGACTTTGAATTGAGCTCGTATGGTAAACAAATCAAAGAACTTGTTGACAAAACTGTGTTTACAGGCGTGTCTGCTGATGATGATACTAGTGACTTCAGGTATGATTTTCATAAAGAAAGGCTAGCCAACAACATGAACTGACTGACTGGCTGGCTGAATTACTCACTCTCCTTCGCACTCACTCACTTCCTTACTAACTAATTAAATAACTAATGAAGAATCGTATTAACTGGTCGCCTACTGGATATTTCCCTTGATTAGAAAGCTCTCAGTGATCAAAATGTATTAATCTTCAGGAGCAATATCATCATGAAAATATCATCAATATTAACTGCACGAGTAAAGAAGTCCAGAATCCATATTCCTGAAATTGAAAGCCAACACAGTGTTGCTCACATCAAAAGCGATTCTCAAGCGAGTCTGGATGTTACCTTGATTCTTGATCCTCTAAGCAAGGCTGCACAGAAGGCTGCTCCTTTTCTTATGGTATAAAATTCACTGATTCAACTACTTTTCTTTTTCTATTTTAATGTTAGAGTATATGAACTTGGATCACTTCAATTGCGRAAACAAAGTGAGATATCTTACGGAGGAAGGCTTAGAGTCGTTGAGTGATCTAAATAATAACCTCCTCTRTTGCTATGATTTTTTAGGTTTTACAAAACGTCACGAATCTAAACATYMAYATCTACATGAACTGCCGAGAGAAGCTATCTGAGTTTCCACTTAATCGATTCTAYCAATACGTCATGGAGCCTGAACTGACGTTTTCAGCCAATGGAAAGCTAGAGCCAGGTCCCTACGCACATTTTGTTGATCTGCCCCAGTCTCCTATCCTCACTATGGCCATGGATACACCGCTGGGCTGGATGGTAGAGGCAGTACGGTCGCCTTATGATTTGGACAACATTTGCTTGCGAGAGGTAAACAATMAGAAACTTTTCMCAATRCTTTCCCATCTTGCTGCCTTTCTAATGTGTGTCTGTGTTTCAAGGTTAGTCAAGGAGTTAGCGCGGACTTTGAACTGGAATACATCTTTATTGAAGGTAGGAATCGATTTGAAAGAGATCATATKTACGTAGAGATGATTAAATACACGGATCTCTTGCAGGACATTGTGTCGACTCGACTAGTGGCCAGCCTCCTCGCGGTCTTCAGTTTACCCTGGGAACGAAATCAGAACCAGACAAATTTGACACCATTGTCATGGCAAACCTGGTAAGCGATCTTTTGTCACATACACGTTATCGCGCACGCTYAATTAATATATAGTTTTCCTTTCAAAGGGTTATTTCCAGCTCAAAGCATTCCCTGGATCCTGGATTCTGCGSCTGCGCGATGGAAGATCCGCTGACATCTACGAAATTGACAGGTAAAGTATGGATGGTAAGGCGTATCGGTTGGTAAATCGGTGCCAAAATGCGCTCCTTGGAAGATGAACTTGAGCCTGCGATATTATGACTGGTTGCTCAGTCATACATGTAGTGTGTTGACATGCGTGGTTGCACTAAGTTGGTTCTTTYGATTCCAGTGTTACCGGTGGTGTTCAACAAGATGAGAACCACACCTATACGATCTTTGTCGACAGCTTTTTGGGAAAACTGATGAAAGTTAAGGTACATTGATGGGTAATTCAGTGCACTATTTGGAAAAAATGTAGACATTGTTTCTTTTCCTTTCTTTTTTTTGTTCATTTCTATTGCTTCGGTGATTTAATCTATACTAATACGTTGAGAACGGTGCTGATATACTCAGATGTAAGATTTCAGTGATTTCTTCTTTCTTAAGGTGAAAAGAAGGCCAGGCAAGGAAGGAGTWGACCTCTTGGGGGATCGTGATGATGAAGACAAAGATTCGGGTGGATTGTGGGACTCGTTGTCAAAGTAAAGTCGTTTTCACTGTAATAATCCGTCCTAAAGACCAGTGATTGTTATGCTAGAATCGTTGCTTAACAAAGTATTGTTTTTTTATAATAATTCGTCTCTTTTAATTTAGTACTGATTATTCTAGTAACTATTTACCAAAAACTATAAAAAAGTGAAAATTGGTTGCATTTGCAGCATGGTCAGAAGTGAAAAGAAGAAAGAAACGAAAGAGGAAGAAAAAATAATTAATGTATTTTCGCTTGCATCTGGTCATCTTTATGAACGTTTTATGAGGTAAGTACCATCCTCAAGTTTCCCTCTTATAACTAAATCTACTCGTCAAAGGRTTCATGTTTTTGTTATTTCATTTTCTTTTAGAATAATGATGTTGAGYGTTCTCAAACACACGAAAAGTAAAGTAAAGTTTTGGTTCTTGAAAAACTACCTTTCTCCAACGTTTAAGGTCAGTGRAATCAGATATYGATGGTTTTCAAATAATATTTGATGTACAATGTTGCTATAGAGACGGCATGGTGTCATAGTGGTAACCATGACGTCATTCAAGTGCTTKYACGAGTACTAGTACTTTACAAAAAGTGTATTKCCCGCTTCTRAAGTAGCACAAAAGAACGCAAGCCGGACGTATATCTTAACATTTGTCACTCTTGTACAGTATTGTGTTGTCGATCATTGRATGACCAATATTCTKTATTCAGTTGTACGTATTTTCGGATATTCTGTAGGCGTTTTTACCTAAAATGGCAGAGGAATATGRTTTTGAGTACGAACTTGTGCAATATCARTGGCCAAGATGGCTGCACGCACAAACCGAAAAACAAAGAATCATTTGGGGGTAAGTGATTATTTATGGGTAGATTGCAAAAAGATAAACGTTATTGTCATTCCATCTTGATTTTTACGTTGCTCATTATCTGAGGTTTTTTTGCGTGGCTTTTGCCGTCGATGTTATTTTGACTGTTATAGTATATAGTACTGTGGACAATGTTCATGTTGTTGTTGTTGTTGTTGTTGCTCAAATGCGTTCTTTATCGGATTTTTCAATGTTACAGGTACAAAATCCTGTTCTTGGACGTCCTTTTCCCGCTCCATGTGAAGCGAATCTTGTTTGTTGACGCTGACCTGGTAATCGCTTCATGTAGTTTATTATTATTAACTTATTTGTTTGTCCGTGTTCTTTTTTTCTCTTTTTACCATGAAATTTTAAACGTGTCATGATGTATGTAATATTTCTTGTAACGCGGTTAAAATGACCTGCCCAGTCTACATGAGTCCTGAATCCTTTGTCCTATTTCATGTGATTTAGATCGTAAGGGCAGATCTTCAAGAGTTGATGGACATGGATCTAGAAGGCGCGCCWTACGCCTACACACCATTCTGCGACAGTAGGACCGAGATGGAGGGTTTTAGGTAAGATTGGATTCTCAGTGAATTAAAACAAATGAATGCCAACTAATAATTTGCATGGTTCTAGGTTCTGGAAGCATGGATACTGGAGAAGTCATCTTGGTTATAGGTCATACCATATTAGGTATGCTTATTTGCATGTCTTTTTCCCTTTCCTCATCCCAGTCCCTCACGTCACCCTTCCCGAAGGCCTGAAAGATGACATTGATACGAAATTTATCAAAATACTTTGTTTCTTGCAGTGCGTTGTATGCAATCGATCTGAARCGCTTCAGGCGTCTTGCTGCTGGTGATCGTCTACGTGGACAATATCAGGTAAATGAATTCTGTTTTCGTCCAGGTCTAGAGTATCTTCATTATCTGGAGTTCCTGATTTGACAAAGTGCTCTTGTATTTTTAACGTTTTGTTAAACATTTGCAATTTTATTGACTTTGATTCGTTGCTTATTGTTCAAAAAGTAAATKAAAAAGAAAACTTTGTTTGACCTATTATTTGTTAACACTGTTAACGCTGTTTTGTAGGGACTAAGTCAAGACCCMAACAGTCTTTCTAATCTAGACCAGGTAACTACAATTAGTAGTTTGTACACAAAAGGCTCATTTTAGTGTGATCCGCCATTGCTCCTGCTATCCAATATGGATGCCAGCAAACTTTTCCTCGGTCATGATAGATAATAATGTGTTAATATTACAGGATCTTCCCAACAACATGATCCATCAAGTCCCTATCAAGTCTCTGCCTCAAGAATGGCTGTGGTGCGAGACTTGGTGTGACGACTATTCGCTTAAGAACGCGAAAACCATTGACTTAGTAAGTTTAATTTAGATACTTTTGGGGTCCCTATGCCGCATTCTGAACGTGGGAATCCTTCTTCCTTGCGTTAATAGACTTAAAAGCGCTTATCAAAAATATCAGTGTAGTGCAAATGATATCAACGTATTTTCATGTGAAAATGTATGCCCTAGACCCATCTCAAAAATAACTCGTTTTCATGTGAGCACGCCTGTAATATTTTTCAAAGCGCGCAACTCGGAAATATAAAGTAATTTGAGGGGGTTATGGTCAGGTCCTTTGGAATTTTGGTTTATGATAGTCATGATTGGTCAATGATCATAGAGAGTCGTGGAAAACACAGCTGTAGAYTTAAGAGTAACTTTCCACATTTGTTATTATTCCAGTGCAATAAYCCTCAAACCAAGGAACCTAAGTTAAACAGTGCTGTACGTATAGTCAAAGAATGGCCTGAGTACGATGAAGAAATCAGACGATTGCAAAATAAACTTGCRGCCAATGAATCTCAGAAGACGACAACAGATGTACCAATGACAGGTAAGGGATGTGTCTGGCGTAGATACTGCGAAAATAGGGCGGAACAATGTCGGTCGAAAAGATCGCGAAAAACAACCGATAAGATTACGAAGAGTGCTATTCGTGAAGCTGAAAAAATGTTATATACTTAAATTTATTGCTTGGTGTTTTTTCGTAGATTCATCACAGCCAGGAAAAGAGGAACTCTAGAAGATTGTTGTTCTTTTTTAAAAATGTAAAGTAATTCTTGCCGACCACCATGGCATGGGTTTTTGGGTTTCTTAAGGCTGATTTACACGGTACGATTTGTCGCGCGCGACTTGTAGTATATGACTTGAATCGCGCAGTGTAAATGCCCCTACGACTTGTCTACAACAGTCGTACGCAGCCTACGACTTGTAGTAGGACTTTGAACCACTGCTTAAAATCCTACGACTTGTAGTAGGAAAATCGTATACTACAAGTCGCGCGCGACAAATCGTACCGTGTAAATCAGCCTTTAGTGGTGCTGAAGAACAAGAATACGATCTAAAAGTTCTCGTCAGTTTGCTATTAGTCGATTTTTAGATTATCAACTCAAGGGTTTCCACATCTAGTGTTCACACAACCGACTGGAACTCATTATGGTCCACAACAATGAAATAAATAATAAACAAATGTATTTCTTTTGACTCTGTTATAATAAAAACAATGCCAAGATGTTTTGTACGACCGTGATAACCTTCAGTCGTGMACGGATTTCAGTGTATTTTCATTTTCAAAAAAATCGAAAATATTTATAAAACAATACATATTTTAGTCTATAAAAAGTGTTAGAATGTAACAATGAATTGTAAGAAAGCAATTTACTAATATCATGTTATAAAATATTGATTTGCTATGTTTCATAAAAACTGGAATACAGGAAAAGTAGCTGTAATACGTTGTGTTGTACTTGTTGCTCGCATGCGCAATGCAGTGTAAAGTTATTGCCACAAACGGTAGTGAAAAAGGTCGAAAAAGGATCAAAGAGAAGCATCATTTTTTTCAATGTTAGTCTGCGAATCTAAAATGATACTCAGTACAATGCAAACAATTTTTTAACACGAAGAGGACAAAAAGACTTTCTATATTGTCCTACCCTTTTGGGAAATAGTCTACGCCCACACTTCTTGTCCTCTATCTGCATCTTTTCCGGGTAAATCACTTCAGAAATATTTTCGTTTGCACTTGAAAGCAGTTTATTTCAAATAAAAATAGTGCTACTAAGTATGTTCTCGTGAAAGGGATTATCCCTTAAGATTCCGAAATATTTGCCAACTCCCGCCACTTGACCAACTTGGTTATGCGACAGGAAGTTAGCCTGACGAAAAAATCTTGTCAGCGGTAACTTGCGTTGCGCAAGCGCAGCAGAATCGGCGCGAGAGCCTCGAGTTGTCTTGTCGCCTGACTTGATTGAAATTTTACCGGGCAAAAAATCCATTTTTATTTCTTTTGAACACTAAATATAGCCAACCAAGATGTCTATAAGAACGCCTGAATCCCGCTTGCAATATTACAAGAATAAGAACAAGGATGTTTCGGTGAGTGGAGGTGTAAATAGATGTTGCTTTCCCGAAATGGCGGGGTGATTTGAAATGTATGGTACGAAAAATTGCAGTATTATATCAATTTGATATTTTAATCTAAACATTAAGGAAAGGAAATTTAGGTCAACAGTTTATTTAAGATAGTGTTTTAGTTACATTAATTTGTAAGAAATGTTTATGTAACCGTTAACCATGCTGTTGTAAACTCGCCATATCGACACGAAGTTCCGTCAGCATGATAACTTTATTCATCTGAGTTATTTGGACGTTTTGGACRAACTGTCTTTGCTTTCGCATCTAAGACATATCTTTGTCCTCCAATTTGTTGTTTATTGTAGTACTAATAGCATACATGGGATAATTTTCTCGATAAAGTTACGAAAATAGTTATTCTTTGACATCTTGTCGTCAGTTTTTGTCAAATATTAAATTCCCTTGACTTGAACATTTATTAATGTCGCATCTAGCAATTTATAACTTGTTTTTAAAAATTCRTCCCTTTGAGAGTAAAAGCGTTCGTGTTTTAGTACGTTTTCCTTTCCGGTTTGAAGAAACTCTTTCTGAATTAGACCAGTAAGTACGTCATGGTGTTTTTGTGCCAACCTTTTAATGTTTATTTGTTACATAAACGTGACATTTGAATCAATAAAGTTCATTATGGCCGAATTGGCTTCCTTCTTGGATGTGTCTTTCKCATGAAAGACAAACTCTGTTGGCTTGGTTGCCATGCAGCAAAACTCCACAATGATTCAAATACTGCAAATGTGTTCAAGCTCAATGCATGCTTTTACCCTGCTGTTACTTGCAATACTTAAAAATACAAAATTCTTTGGATTATAAGGTGCTGAGGTTGTGGTCTCTGCTGTGACAGCATTACTTGCAAATACTCATAAACGTGAAAACACATGACTTGAAATCCTTGTTAGATCGTCAATAAAATGCATTTTGAGTTATATAACCCATGGTTAATACATGGTTAGTTTTAACTTAGACAAGGAATTCCTGAGATAAATGGATTTTTAAAGTTCTGCATTGCAAGTACTGTTGGCAATGAAGGGAATGCCATCTCAGCATGTTCAAATCTAAGGAATTCCCTATATTTGCAAGTAAAGAATAGCACTGGAAATGCATGCAATCAAACTCAAATGCATTATGTTGTTTGAAAGTCAAAAAGTACAGTCTTTTACCACACCTAGTTAAATGCCAGGAGAATATTGCATTCATAAACTTTACAAATGTAAAACACTCCAACATAATGATTTTCGTACRTACAGGCCAGGGACTACCAAGAATAGTGAAAACTAGTTTCGTTTATTAAAACCTCTTCAGTTCACTATGTGTTATTATATTATTATATGTTATTTGTCAAAGAATATTTAMTCTGCGAACAGAGGTTCTTTTCTCACCCGCCTAGAAGCGAGAGAAAAATAACCTCTGTCGGCTTCCGATTATTATTCCGTTGAGCATGCGCAAGTGTGACGTAGCATAACGTATGTCAAAGGTCAAGGTGCTAAATGACAAACGAAAACAGAAAGTTGATGTACGGGAGACTTCCCGTGGCCGATTGGAAGGTTTACGAATGTATCATTTTGAATAATATGGAAAAAAGAGCGCCGAATTTATGTTTTGATAGTTTTTGTATGTTTACATCTAATTTCTTCAAGCAAATGCTAACCAAATCTTGGAATTCTCGAGTGGAGAGACCCAGTTACCCGCCGTATTGAATTAGCCGGAGAGCCCACAATAACAACTAGCGGTAATTCACAAGGTGATAATGACGTAGACGCGAAAACCGATTGAAAACCAGCTTTTTCAACGAATAGCCCATAATGTTTACATCCAGAAGTTTGGATGTAATAATTGGAAGCCGGCAGAGGTTATTTTTCTCTCGCTTCTCGGCGGGTGAGAAAAGAACCTCTGTTTGCAGAGTAAAGAATATTGCATTTGTAAGTAATAAAAAATGAAGTTTGTTTTAAGCACGCCAAAATCTGTGAGTAGAAATGTCAGTGCACTTGTACATTTTGTCTTTAACAAGTTATTTTTGCTAAAGTAGTACTTCTTTCCAAATCATGACATATTGCATCTTTTTAGCATTATATCAGGGCAAACAACAGTTGAATGACTTTACAGCTGAATCTCAAATATGGACTATCAATTCAACCTTGGTTTCACTATAAAGAGATGTACTGAGAGTAAAATTTGTCCCATGCATTTTCTGAATGTACATGTATGTAGCTTGGGACTCTAAAAATTGTCAACCAAATAAGTGCCATTTTTTTATTCAACTACTTTTAGAGCTCAATCAATTGATTTAATTAATTAAGTATAATAATTTTATAAAAGRACATTATAATATGATTGTAGTTTGGTTCTTAGGATATATCTGTTTTTAATGACTTTATTAAAATTTGGTTTTGTCAAATAGTCTTTGAGACAAAGAAGAAATGAAGTTACAGTTGAACTCAGAAAGGTAGGGTAACCACAATGTCTTTGTTTTTATTAACAATCAAATCAATGTCGTCAGATGTTAATAAAGTGAAATTATTTTGATTATCTTAGATRTAATTTGATCTGTATTGTATCTGCTATTACCAAAACTGTCTTAAACCTAGAGTAATCTATGTWTGACCTTCAATAGGCAAAACGAGAGGATAGAATGCAGAAAAGAAGAAATGTACCATTGGATATGACAGATGAAAAAGATGACAAATTTCAAGTAAGTTTTAATTGGATTTATTTTGATTCATTTGTTATGTAAAAACACCTAATCAACTACAATATTGTACAGGAAATTTATACTAATACTTGTACTGTAGCAATAATAGTATTGTATTATCTTATCTKCACATGATGTCATTTTTCAACTTTTCTTACATTACTAAAAATGGTTWTAGAAATATAAGCTAGTTTCATTGTTCCCATGTTTTAATAATGTTGTGYGTTTCTGATGACACTTTTAGTTACTTTAAAATAAGGTATAGTCCATCATAGTGTGCAAAAATGTGTGTAAATAACAAGTTGTTAATTTTAAATATTCAAATCTTTTTAGCGTAAAGATCTCAGTACAATAGTTTTGGTAAGTTCTTGGATTATTTTTCAATTACATGCTTTGTCTTTCATGCACTAAATTAAAATCTTATTTATCTTTCAAACTTGTTTTGTTTAATCAGTTCTTAGCTGAAACTAAACTGTTGTTTACATGTGTACAAGCAGACTGATCATGTGGATTTTTTGTGTGTTTAGGAAGCAGCAAGTGAAGATCCTGTTACACAGTTAAATGCTGTACAGGCTGCTCGGTAAGCTTGCTTGTCAATCATTATACAATCTCATGAAGCAATTTGATTATATAAATTTGATTATATATTTGTACACGGGATCGTGACGTATACCTCAGGCAACATACAAATTTAAAGCGTGCGCAACCATGAATCAAGAAAAATGTGCRGGCTTGCTGTCCAAACATTACTGGATACTTTCCAGAATGTAAAAGAAAACCTTTGAATATTCTGCTTTAAAATATTCGTGATTTGTTTTTTCTAGAAAATTGTTATCAAAAGATAAAAATCCACCTATCGATGACCTTATCAAGTCAGGAATACTTCCTATTCTGGTCCAGTGTCTACAGAGAGCCGAGAAGTATGTTGTTGAGTATACTATTGATGTGTATAGTAATGATATTCCTGTTACAGGACTGTGTGATGATAGTAGTTACTAGAATGTTGGATAGTGACAGTTATGTAGATGATTATGTTTTCTGATGATTGATGAATAATAATATTGTCATGATTAAATTAATTAGACAAATTATAATACGGAACACATCATAGTATATCATTTATTGTTTTTCTTTCTAGTGCATCATTACAGTTTGAAGCTGCCTGGGCCTTGACTAATATTGCTTCTGGAACATCAGATCAAACACAGGCAGTAGTGAGAGCAGGTAGATTCTAATTAATGTATTTTTTAAATCTTTRAATGGAGTTTAATTGTGTGTTTATATATTAGGTGCTGTACCATATTTCATGGAGTTATTGAATTCCCCGCGTCAGCATGTRTGTGAGCAAGCAGTATGGGCATTGGGAAATATTATTGGTAAAWATCTTTTTCAACATTTTTCAAATATTGATGTCAAAACTAACCTATCATTTGGTGGTATTCAGGTGATGGTCCAGTCCTTAGAGACTATGTTATAGGACATAATGTTGTCAAACCATTGCTGAAATTTGTCAATCCTAGTGTACCTGTAAGTATTTTCTCCTTTGATCTACCTAATATAGGAATTTAGAAACAATTCTCTTTCTTGATCTACCTGATATAGGAATTTAGAAACAATTCTCTCTCTTGATCTACCTAATATAGGAATTTAGAAACAATTTTCTCTCTTGATCTACCTAATATAGGAATTTAGAAACAATTTTCTCTCTTGATCTACCTAATATAGGAATTTAGAAACAATCACCATTTTGCATGTAAATTTTTGCTTTTCTAAATTTGCTGTACAAGGTAGAATACTGTTGGGTAAATTCCTTGATTAAATCAATAGTAATGATTGATATTAAATATCTTTCTTTGCAGATTACTTTCCTAAGAAATGTCACATGGGTGATAGTAAACCTTTGCAGAAACAAAGAGCCACCACCACCTATTGACACAATTAGAGAGGTATGTCTACATTTCCTGCCATTGATGTTGACTGGTCATCTTGAAGCATGTTTGTTGAAGTTATTGAATATTCTATTAAACATCATTTGTTTTTTGAAGTGCAAGGTTTGAAGCCACTCGGCCAGAACTTAATCAGTTTAATGTTTGTGCAATTGTATAGTTATTTGGTTTAAAATGTACCTAGTTTGATGCTAAATGTTATATTAATTTCCTTTCTTACAGGTTTTACCCGCCCTTGCTCTTTTAATTCATCACCAAGATCTTGATGTATGTTATTTTCTTTATGATATAATCATACTACATTTGTTTGAATTTTTATCTGTAATGCAACAATCTTAGTTATCATAGTGTTTGAATGTACTACATCTGCAGTGGAATAACCAATATTTAATGTTGTATTTAGATTCTAGTAGATACAGTTTGGGCATTATCTTATCTTACTGATGGTGGAAGTCACCAAATACAGGTATTTCCTTCTAAAGCTCTAAATACAGTGTAGCTATTCTAGGTATTGATGTGTTTCCTCTTTATCTATTTCCTTCTTACATTGTATACTTATTCATTATTGCATTACATATTATTACATGTATTATCAACATTTTTTCATTTTTATTCAGCTTGTAATAGATTCTGGGGTCGTCCAGTTCCTTGTTCCTTTATTAAGTCACCAGGAAATCAAATTACAGGTAAGTATTTCACGTTACCCATGTATAATTCTGATTGTATTAGTTGATGATAGTATACTGTATAATAAGTGTAGAGTTTTTCTGAGTTCAGTCCTTCTGTGGCATCACTGTCTAATAAAATGTTATTCTATGACCATGCAATACTCCGATTTCGAGTTCTGGTTTGCTCTGTGTTAGCTTCAAAACCAAGCAACATATTCTTTTGTTTCATTGATAGCCCGAGAAAACGCATGGAATTTGAAAAGAAAGACAATGGAATTGATTTGAAATCTCACACTTTTATTCTCACAATTAGGAATATTTTGCGCACAAATGAGGCTAACACAGAGCATTGGAGAATTCGAAACTGGATTATTGTATACCTGTCTCCCTATATTTTGCTGACATTCTCCATTGATTTTTGTGTTAATCAATATTTCCTGTTTTTATTGCAGACTGCAGCTTTACGAGCTGTTGGTAATATTGTGACTGGTACAGATGAGCAAACACAGGTATAAGTTGTTGTCAACATATTCCAGTAAATGATTTGATTGGTACTAACCTTTTGTTTGGATCATTTCCAGGTTGTTCTCAATCATGGTGCATTGTGTCATTTTACAGGCCTYCTTAATCATCCTAAAGAGAAAATAAAAAAGGTATACAAACCTATCTTTATTCCTTTTATTTCTTTATCTTTTGTAAAAGGTTTATTTCATTTCCTAAATTCTAAAAAGAAAAATGTTTGGGGGTAGTTGAAAAACTTTGTACTTTTCCTGGTAATTCAACACAATTGTTATTTGTTTCCAGGAAGCTGTGTGGTTTTTGTCAAATATTACAGCAGGAAATCAGTCTCAAGTACAGGTATATAATACCATTGATGATACCATTTYACAGACACCTTAACCAGTAAAGAAACTAACCAAACGAATGCCACTGTTTCATTAGGAAGTTATAGATGCTGGTCTTATTCCATTGATTATTCAAACTCTTGAAACTGTAAGTATGTATTAGTACTTATTAGAACATTATAGCATTGCTCAATAACTTATATCYGTTTGTAGGGTGAATTCCAGACACAGAAAGAAGCTGCATGGGCAATAAGTAACCTCACAGTTAGTGGAAGACAAGATCAGGTACTCTACCTTTTTCAAATGCTTTTGCAYTGTACTACACTTGTACWGTTTTGTAGCATTTCCATCCATCAACACTGAMAATTTCATGTATTGTAAGGATATTGTTTTTTTGTGTTGCAGGTCGCTGTCCTGGTCTATTGTAATGCTTTAGAACCTTTATGTAAGCTACTTGATGTCAAGGATCCACAGGTACTTTAAAATGTTGAAATTGGTTTGAAAGTGATATAATTTTGACATGGACTATTGCTTGATTCTAAATTAGAAAGAATGGAAAACTCTATTGTTTGGAAAGGATGTTATTCCTGGCAAAAGTCCCTTTACATGTATTTCCCACATTGCTGGGATTCGAACCCACAAATTGTTTGAAAGTGTGATTAGGAGATCGATTAGTTTACATATAAAGGGATCAATCACTTATTGGTTGACCTAGTAATGATTCACAAATAAATGAATAGATTATTAATTTATTATTGATTTATTAATTGAAAAAGATTGATTTTTAAATGGATGGGCTGCATTATAAAGTGCTTGATGACGGCAGTTGATCTTCAAAGCGATAAAGGCTCTTAGGTTTACCTACTTTTTTGTGTTTGTCATCTTAGGTTGTGCAAATAGTTCTTGACGGGCTCAATAACATTCTAAAGGTAATATCAATAATCAATAGAAGCATAGAATAATAAAATGGATTGCTTGTTAGCAAAATTACTAATGATAATTTTTGAATAATAAAAATAATTGTTTGACAGATGGCAGGAGATAAAGCTGATACAATAGCAACAATGATAGAAGAAGCTGGAGGTGAGATGTAGTACTRATCCTAGACTGCTAGACTAGATAACGAAAATGCATTCTCTCCCCCTGGATGAATTTACATGTTACATTTTGAACGTCAACTTCTTGAATTTCCTTTTCCATACACTGAATTATGTAAAGTTCATAAGTCATTTTTTGTGGAAGTTACTCATTCAAGCTATTCTAGACACGTCAAATTATTTATTAGAATAATGATATATTCTTTTCTTTTTACAACCGTCTAAAATTTACAATAATGATATAATTAGAAACTATTTTTCTTTTTTTTGGTTGGGTTATAGTATTATTCTTTGCATCGTTAAAAGTTTCTTTACGTATATCTTATGTTATTGTTCAGTATTTTTGTAATATTGGTTGTTGTTCCAGGTCTCGACAAGATTGAACATCTACAGCACCATCACAATGAAGATATTTATAAACTGGCATTCGAGATGATTGATCGTTACTTCTCGAATGAGGTTAGCTCACCCGGCACTGTATATATCTTACAGATTCATATCTAACCATACATATCAATTAAATGTTATCGTGAGAATAAGGTCACACTGTATAGTWGATATCATAAACACTTATAAATGTTTTCCCGCCACGGATGAATTACCATTTTTATTGACACACAAAAAATGAAATAACATCATCCAAATATTCTTATCCTTTGAGCATTTTGTTTTCCAGGGGGAAGCAGTCGATGAAGAAATTGCACCACAACAGGTAGATGGTCAATTCCAGTTTGGCACTAAAGACAATATCCCCCCTGACGGYTTCAAGTTCAGCTAGTAGAGTAGTGCAGTGAGGAGCGTTGTGAGACGTGAGTGAATACTAATGAGAGCGTAACGCGCGTGACAAATCAACAACGAGCGTGTGTGACAAACAAAACAGTGCGCGCGAGAGCCGAGTGCGTGCGTGAGTAACCTCGAGAAGCGAGCGTGCGAGTGAGTACCGAGCGAGCGTGCGAACCGTCACTCAACTACCCCCCTAATCGACGAGTTGACATTGTATGACCAGTTGGCATTCCGACACGAGTGATGTCAGTTGGCTTAGAAACAACCAAGTGGTCTTCCTGGACAATTTGTTATACTTTACCTGGAAAATTCCACCTGGTTGAAATTCTGGACACTACCATGATATGGTAACCAAAAATGGATGAATAATGAACAGACAATTTATGGATGTTAATGGAGAAGTTTTAGCGCCAATTCTTGTTACCAAGTTTCTTTGTGAATAGCCATATAGTTTTTAGAATTTTTATCTCAAATTTACTTTGATGAATTTCCGTTAAAAAATAGCGATGTTTTTTTGCTAGGGCAGAGATCTTCAAGTAAAATAACCATGAAACATTTAAAAAAATAGATTTTAACGAAGCTATCGCTATTCAGGTGTCTTTTCATGGATATATTATTTGCACCAAAAGAAATTCATATTTTAAATGGTTAATTTCAGATATACAAATATATTATTTTAACCGTAGTAAAATCGAATCTGTGGTATAAACACGATGTACAGTACAGCACTTTTGAAATGTATTCAGATCGAGGCTAAGTTGAGTGCTGGCTTGATATATTTGAATTTTACCCTCAAAGCCTCGTTTTCGTGTCATTTGAATACAAGTTAAAAATAGCTGTAGAATGAATAACAGCCTATTATGAAAATGCTGTTTTGAAATCCCGTACTATATAAATAGTTGTAAGTAGAACTCAATTCTAAGTATTTTTAATTCGGGATGCTGCTTCGTAATCATCTTTATTATAGCAATTTGTGTTTTTTTAAACATAGGGTATAATAGGTCAAAATAATTATTGATAGATTGATAGTATTCCCTGGTGCATCCCTTAGTTGTACATGTGCTTATTTTTGTGCATAACCTATTAAACCTTGGAACCATTTCCAGTAGACTTACAATCGACTTGTGATTCTTTTATTTCGTTAACTACGGAAACAGCAGTGACATATTCGTGAATCCAAAAAAACTTATAGAGGACTTAGATTAGTTCAATAACGTTCCTTGAGTGTTTAGTGCATTAGGTTTTGGATGTTTCGAGTTTGTAGTTAAAGATGTATTGTCGTTTTGGTGGTTTTAGCGCACAGTCTCCTCACGGTTCWAATTGAGATTCCAAGATGGCGGGTATTAGTTGTTATACGAAAAAGCAAAAAGCATCCTAGCAAGTGGCCCCAGTTGTAAAAGGTTTACTCTWCAAAATATTTTTGCACGAAAAACAGGATCGCAAGAGTATGTGATGGCTCTACCGTGTGAAGCTTGGAAGATTAAGGGTTCAACTTTTCAGTGTGAGGGGAGAGGGACTATCAACAAGCATAATTATGGAACTAAATTATGACTTAAAGTCTTGGGACTTTTGGCTCTAGATCCCTGGGAAATTTTGTCCTTATGCCCAGTTTGCGATTGTGGTTGGTGAGGTTTTGATTATAAKTCTTGAATCAAATGAGATTTTCTAAAGTGGGATCTCCATATCGTCATCCAATATTATAACAGGGATGTAATTTTACCTTTCCCTGGTTTTAGGCGACGGTTTTCCAACTACCCATGCTGGAAATCAAGTAGTTGACATTTAGAGTTAGCATAGAACTTAATCCTGTGTTTCCTACAGTAACCGTGTTGTTGCCGTAATTATTTGGTGTAAAACCATAACACRATTTATCGCCACAGTATCGGCAGCGCGCGCGAAGAACCAGTTTATTACGTACAAAAGTACCCACTGAAGTCTAAAGGATTRCTTCAAAACGTTACTTGTGTAAACCTAGCATTATTTTTCTTCACAATAAAATGAAAATTTCTCTATAGGCAACTCTCGACCAAATCAGTTGTCGGAGTATAAGCCTCGATATGAGATAAATCAACAATGATATGATARAACTACAAAAATGTCAAACCAATCTACACGAATCGGTTTTTAATTCTAAAATACGGCTTATCATTTTTACATCAAATAATTCTAGAAAGCAAAGCCTTTACCGCTTGTCAACTTACGATATTAGAAGCTTTTAACAACCGAAAATTGCTTATTTGTTCAAAAATAAGGAATCATTTGCATTGCAGTAATAATTAAATCGCTAATTTTCTTAAAAATAGACATTGTTTACTTTTAAATCTTTGAAGTTAGTCATTCACAGCGAGCGACAAAAACTGTTACGCGCCRGTAATAATCATTGACAATGATTTTTTTCGTTCCACGACAAACATTGCTGAACCGGTATCTATAACAACGCCGAAAATCACGTTTAAAAAAACGCCGACAAAAGAGCTTATTAAAACCGAGATTTGGCACTTTTCAATGTAGTTTCAAATTTTTAATKTAATTTTGAGATTGCTTTTGCGTTGCTTGTGCTTCTGGTTTCTTGCGAAGAATTATGGGTTAACGTGCGTGACGGCGCTCGTCTTTGACGTTTGTAAGATCCCGCCAAAATTATCACAGCATGGCGTGATAATCCGTAGTGTAAACCACTAGAACCCTCCAGGATTTAGTAAAAGTCCATCGCAATTCCGTTATACTTGCCGATCGTTACATCTTCCCTGCAGGCTTCCTCCTTTCTGTACCTGTTGACTTGTTAGCCAATCAGAAAAGAATTAGTCGAATCACCTTTCATTAGACAAAATAGAAACTCCGTGATTGCTGAGTTATAATTAATTTTCCAAACTTATCGGAGAAAAGCTAAGAAAAGCGATTAACAATTGATTATTTCCGTGTCGTTTCTTTTGTTAGTTCGTTCGGTCTGATAACCATGTCAAAAAACGTTCACCTTCGATTTATGATTTTTGGTAAAGGTCTTTCTGCTCGCCGCCCCAGGTGGAAACCCTCATTTAATTGCCACTCCAATTAGCTTTTTGATTGGTTTTCTAATACTCTTAATACCCACATAATCCCATCTTTGCCGCTGCGGTATGGCCATGTATTATATGGGTAGCGAATTGATTGAATTTAAGGTTGCAAACGCCGGCTTTACAGGCTGTTTTAGTGTTCAGCGCACCGCAACATGGCTCTGGTTCATGCTGCGTCTCTTTGTACTCAATACATTGGCCGATTGTAAACAAACAAACGCACTAATTAAATCAATGACCGGGTGGTCGAGTGGTCGAGATTGCCGCCCTCAGGCTACAAGACACCCAATTTAAGCCAATCAATGTTGCCAGGATACTTCAGATTTCTCACCAACGATTTTCATCAATTAAATGATTATATTCAATTAGTAAGGACTCGTTAGGAGGACCCAAACCGCCTTTTTAATTCCCTTTGATGAAAGGCGAAGAAAAGCGAGAAATTGAGTTTCTTAGTTCAAAGATAAAAATGATTGAAGGTTATTGRAAAAGCAGTTAAAGATATAATTTGTCACAGCTATTTCAAATAACACGATTCCAAAGTGCTAAACCCTAGTAATAAGCAACATATTACCGTAAAATCAGACTAAAGTTTCTGTTAAACTCTTTCTTCGCACCTCTATATTACTAACTCTAATTTTATTAGTGACTTCAAGCCTTTGCGCAAAATGCCGGTGTCTGTTCATACATTTTCCCCTCCTCTTAAATAGATACAGTTTGAATTTCTCGCAATTCTAAGTTCATAAATTGTGACATCCCGAATTTCCTCTACAAACAGAAGAAACAGTTCTTTTCAGACGTGTTGGACGTATCTCGGGAGATATGATTGTACATTCCCAGAAATCTGTCTTCTTTGTAGTTCCGTGATATGTGAAGTTCAAGTCTTTTGACCAAGGTGTATTAAGGAAAAGATGAAATTCCACCGGGATTGTGTTCTTTAGCTTTCATTCTTAGTGTTGCTATACTTGATGTTCGCCTATCAGTGCTGTCATGCTGGCCTTCACCCGTTGAATCCCCAGCCCTCTCATGTGAAGAGGTGCACTTAAAGGCTAAGTGTGGATTAGATAGTAGTGGAGGAGTGACCATTGGGTATATATCTCTRTGGAATGTAGGATGCTGGGGGATATACCTGGATGTTGTGAATGCAGGATGAATAGGTAGCCTCAAGGCGGGRAAACTTGGCATYGATGTGTTGGGAACCCAGTTGAAGTCATAGGTTTTACTACTCARGTCTGGAGTGAACGTTSCCATAGGAGGTGGAATAAGAGGATTACTTAAACCCAAAGGGGCATGTAGTCGAACACCATGGGACTTTTCACGTTTTCGCCATTTYGCACGTCGGTTTTGAAACCACACCTGCAATGGAGTAGTAATTTTGTCACAAAAGGCAGCCATTCTTTCTCCAAACAATAAAATTATACAATGGTTGTCACAGTGTTTTGACTCGACATTTACAAGCTCTCGCATTGATTTTGTTTCAATTATAGATAAAGTGTTTTTGGGTATGTTGTTTTGGCGGGCAAGTGTACTTTGTAAGTTTATAATTTATCTTGAAAACAACACACAAAATATTGGTCGAGGCATATGAATATTTCATGAAGAAAATGAAAGAAAAACTTTCAATAAAATAAAATGTATGTGYTGAATAGAATCAAATATTTTATCAAAATAAGCGATGGTTTTGAACCGTTTGATTTCAYTCTTGAATACGTAGGTTTCGTGGTCAGTTTCGCTAAAGATCATGGATATTCTAGTTTCATCTCGTAGTGCTTTAGAAGATTACATCAAAAGCCTCTCACATCGCCAATTTACCCAGCAGGGGCTGAAACAACAGACTTTATATACCTGCTATGAATGAGCCTGTAAAACGACTATTACACGAGGTCAGCCCTTCAACACTACGTCTTCACAAAGTGATTATTACATTTCCTTCGACAATTGTTATCCGTTTGTCAACTAACTCTTTATTATCAATTCGCAATTGAAGAACACTTGCCAATTTGCGGATAGTTTATCTCCTTAGCATTATCAGTCAAAATGAGTAATTCCTCGAAATTGGACTACTTAATTACAAAAGGAAGAACTACGATATCAAATTTGCATCTATTTTCAAGGGGAAACTCGTTATCTTTAGTCGTAGAGAATTTAGAATTGAAAAGTTAACTCTCACCTGTACGCGCGCCTCGGTAAGGTCTATTTTCATTGCCAAGGCTTCTCGGGTGAATACGTCTGGATAATGAGTCTTGGCAAAAGCGCGTTCGAGCTCTTCAAGTTGGTAACTTGTAAATGTTGTACGATATCGGCGTTGTTTACGTTTAGTGTTTGGTGATCCCTTGCTTTCCTCACTGTCGAGTTCTTCTTCACTTTTGTCAAGGTCTTCGCCGTTTTCTTTCAATTCTCGTTCGTTGACACCTGTTAGTATGGCTGATTCATTATTTCCTATATGTAATGGGAGAATTAGCAGTAGTAGCATGGGTCATTCAAAAGAGTGAATATTAGATTAATATAGAGGAAATTATGATTATTTGGTTTTGATGCCTGTCGATATTAAAGGCTTAAGATTCGTTCAAAGGTGTGAAACGATTTAGTTCCTCACGCCTTACTTGCTCTTTGTCGCCAAAATCGTAAAACAATCCTACACCGCAAGTAGTTTGTTGAAACTCGAGAGTTTCAAAACAATGCAATATAAAGAAAATATTGATGTAAGTTCAACTTCAACAACAGCATGTGCAATTCCATAATTGTTTTCGTTCAAAGGTTTCATACATCTCASCCCCAAAGCGAGATGTCCTTTTTCGAAAATAATCTAGTAGATGCGAACTCCACGGTTTAAGATTTTCAAGCATTTTGTAATGTGTATAGTAGCGATGTTTAAATATTCTTTAAACTATGAAAGTGTTTATTTACCTCTTATTGTTGATGAGTGGTCGCTGTTATACCTAGTATCTAGATCATTTCCCTGTTCCGCCTTCAGTCCTAGTAAGCCATCGATCGTGTAAGTAGTTTTTTGCGCCCTTGGACTGTCTGACATCTTGGACGTGTTTGTCGGTTGTAACGTACGCGATTCTGGCTGCGGGTTGAATGCGAATGAGCTGAAAAACACACATCAAGTTTTATTGAAAAGCCACCAATAGGAGCGAGAAACTGATAATAAAATTAATAAATCTAGGAAAGTTCATTAGGGCCATCATGATACAGGACGAATACTCTTTACATTTCTAATTAGCTTAATCTCATTTGATCAAATAACCCACAACTAGGTGAAAATGACATTTTTTTCTCATTAGCATAGACTAAAAGACTTGTCAACGCATCGAGGACAGGGAAGAGAACGAAAAAAACGTCGCGTTTCAGCCAAAATAAACTGGAATTAAGAACCCTGCGGTGAAGCGTGAATGGTTTAGGAGTAGTTATGATTACTAAAGAAGTTGCTAGTTTTTGTTGACTTACTGTGAAGTGTTTTCTGTTTGTTCAATGAACCTGAATGCTTCTCATAAAATCATCTTTGGTCGTGTCCAAGCTCTTGTCTCTAGGGTCAAGAACAACCAAGCACCACCCACAATTAAGTGACTCAAGGATGTGATCGACCAAACCTCCCAACAGCTCCGAAAGAAAGCTTTGTGAACTTGTTTCTAATAGAAATCGTGTGTCATAAATTATCACTTTGTTAGAGGTGTAATCTTCAAATAGTGTGTTCCCTTGAAGAGGAAAAAAACCGCATTGAACAATAACAAGACTTAGCTTCTGAGCACGCCAGCTGACAAAAAACAATGACCCGAATGGGACAATATWGAAGGACTTGGGTGCTTCGAAACTTGTGATTGGGCTAATTAATTACTATTTTGTACCGTTAATTAATTAATTTATTAAACTGCTTTAACTCGGGCCGATACAACAAACTTTCAGCCAATCAGGACGCGAGGATTAAATACCTGAAGTTGCTTGCTTATTGGTCCGTAAAAGCAATCATATAAACAGTAGGATCGTTGTTTGTTACGACTACTATTTTAGTCTTGGAAATGTTGCAGCAATTGTGAAGGWGATTAAGATCTTTTAGCATAACAACTTTAATTGAAAAAATCAAAAGAGAGCATTACCTCACCCGTGCAAGAATTATTCGAGCGAAAAGGGAGTGTATTGTTCTATGTTCTATGCTTTCGAAGTTCCATTGTTTCAGTTCATTGAATCTCTCTTGATATGTTAGCAAAATATTTATCGTTTTCAAGGAATTACGAACACTTTGCCCCGAAAACAAAATAAAACTAAATTAGGCTTATTTTAGTGATAGTTGGCGCAGACAGGTAATGTAGTGATAATGCAATAAAAACATTGTCAGTTCAACCATTGGAAATCAAAACAACCTATCTGTATTCATTAATACAAGTAATCAACTTAACCCTTAATTTTTACCCAAAATCACCAAATAAAAATTAGCCAATTTAGCCTAATTTCTCAATAAATTGATTTTGATCAGCCCAATTTTGATCTTGAGATGACATGGCCATTGAAAGATTCTCTTAATGTCGCTGGTGAATTCTCCGGATGACTGCCCGCTCGACGGGTTTTGATTCATGTATAACTGGTATTAACACATCCAGAAAAATCCACCATCTCTCCCGACATATCTTTCTAAGCAAACAATCTTTTTCGCAAGAGTGATTTTATCTTGACATATTTTTCTTACTGTAAATATAATAAAATTTTATTTTACTTTTTTTAATTTTTACCTTGAAAAATTACACCTTGAAAATTTGCACGGACACTAGTTTGCTCGTATGCCTTTGTAAAATTTTACAGTCCGTTGAAGCATTSTATTTTGTCAATAATTTTCCCCTTTATTTAAAGACTGTTTACTTTTTTTTAACGAGTATATAGATGTGCACCTCAAAGAACATTTGATTCTGATCAGTTATTTTAGCTGCAAAAAAAACTGAAAAAGAGCGCGGGCTCAGAATTAGCCAAGGAGTTGAATAACTATAATAAAAAATACTTGACCAAAATACAGGAATTGATCCATGAAAAATGAATCCAAGCATACTATTTTTATCATCCCACATAACTGTTCTTTAATCAAAAGTTTGTTTTGTTCTCAGCACTTAAGTGTAGGCAATTTATCTGCAGTCGTATTGAAAACCAATAAGAACATAACTATCTTATAATTACAGTTAGTTTTCATTCTGCGCGAGAAATTGCCTAATTGGTCTATAACGGACTAATTTCGGCTATCAACAAAACATTTCGTACAATCAAAATTATCTTTTGAGAACATTTGAAAAGATACAAGATTGAGTTCTGTGTTCGGCAGACGTAAAAGGTCTGGCTTTTAAAAGAAAGGCGTAACTTAGACGAGATTTTTGAAAACCTWATTATTTACAAATAAAAATATATACAAAATGTCTGAAAAAATGACTTCAATAATAACATATCAATACACCTGTAAAAGCACTCAGTTCAAGGGTAACGAATTGATTTTATTGCCCATGTATTCTATAAACCGGGTTTTTTTGTTTTTTGTTTTGCTAGTAGTGAGTTCGTTATGGACCAGTGGATACCCAGTGGTTCGATTGTAGTCCAAAAATCTCACTTGAATCCCAATTGACATTTATCCATGAACAGAAAGCATWTATTCACCAAAATTACATGGGGAAAATACTTCCTTTGATAACTTTTATTCTGACTTCAATTGACTTAAAAAACCTTAGAATTCAATGGCTTTTATATCTTTTTTCACAACAAAGTATCTTAAAATAATAGTGGTATCGTCCATTATATTATTGTAGCCTACGCTATATACATCCCATAATGTCTAGCTAAAACCCTGAAAACCRTGGAATTCAATATGGCGACAGCAACTGAAAAGATCTATTGGTCTTGTCTTTTATCTGTTTTCAAATAGTAAAATAAATAGCTTGCAATACAAAAAAGAAAATTCGGCGGAAAATTGTATGGCTTCCGAGTGTTCTAGCACTTTAGTAGTTTCTTTTTAATTATTACAGTAGACAAAGATGTACTTCCATATCAAAATAGCCTGCTAACAGGCGTTTTGGGAAGCCGAGAAGGAATGTACGCCTGTTAGCAGGCTAATATAAATGTCATTCGTGCGAGATCCTTGTGTATTTTAGTTTCGGGCTTCCTTTAGCGAATCCATGCCATATATGGAAACATACAAAATGGCCGTTTGTTSAGAARTGGTTCGCTATAATATCTGCAAGTTGCAGACGATTTCAAGCATTAAAAGTCGAGAAAATCGCTAAAAAACAGTCCAMACRTACTTTTGAATAARGTAAGATTACCATATATGGCTTCTAATTGGAAAGACAACTTTYCTGAGGCAATTTGAATCGTTTCTTTCAGTGATGAGAGCTGAAAAGGTAGTAAGCTTGGCTAGCTGTTTTTCCGGATATGGTCAAGCGAAGAAAAAGGCGAGTACAAATATTAATTAGAACGTAGCTTTGGTACGCTGCCCCGGMAAAAACAAGTGTATCCCGAAAGTCCTTCTTAAATTAAAAGAACAAAAAAAGAACAATACAAACGAAGAATCCATATGTTATCGGCTGATGCCAGTGTCTTTTCTCCTCTCGGAAAAATAGTACGTATTTATCCAATCCTTTCTGTTTTTTTTTACTGAGTTTTGATGTTATTATCAGTAACAAATAATCGTCTCGTCCATCGTTACAAAACGCGCGATCCCTGGGATCCCTGTTTCAGTGCGCGCGGATTGGGCTTCCTGTTTAATCACACAATTTGCGTTAACAAAGGTCTCTATGCCAACGCCCATTAACCAGAATCAGCAAGTTTTTGTTCGATTCACGCTGTTGCATCTGTGCGCAGTTCATAATTTCGAGTTTCTCGAGTTTTCATTCGCAAAGTTTTTCCAAAATCGTCAAGCACTTTTAGTGTTATTCATTTACTACTTTCACTTTGTTATTTTTGAGAACATTTTTGTAAAAATGTCTCAAAATCGCAAACCGTCAACGCCCGCAGCTCGTCGTTCTTCACCAAGACTTTCAACTAAGCTGCCGCAGTTGGCACCAAGAATTTCTCCAACTCAGCAAGCTGTTACCAAGGTTACACCCTTTAAAGCTGCAAACAAACTGTTGGTSAAATCTCCTACCATCTCAAAATCTGGAAACAGCTTGACCAACTCAGTCAAGTACAAAGCRCTCACTTCACAGGTAGATGGTACTTCTTCAAWSGATTTGGCTGGCCTAGACATTTTCTGATTTCCTTCATTTCTGTTTCAGGAGCGACCTATCAAGAGGAATCCAAGGAAATTAGATCCAATCAAGTAAGAGGAAATCATGKTTGATTGTCGATGAATTAGGGACTAGATGTAGGGTTGTGTAGAGCTGGGCTAAATTAAATCTCTACRCTGATGACGGAGTGATTGCTTGGATKGAAGTTGCAGGAATGCGAATATGCGAGGTGAATTGAAAGGTGAAGGGATGGGATGGACGGATRAATGGATSAGAAATAAACATTTTGGTTAGTTATGGTGGAGACTAAGCGAGTCGGGATGATTGAYGGATAGATACCAGATGGATGATTGATTGTGGATGAAGTTGTGGATGAAATGGATGAAAGGAAAAACAACTTGACATATTGTTACGATACAAGAATGAAAACAAAGTTGACAATGCTTTGATTTCCTTTATTCCKGCAGAACTCAACAAGCTGAATTAGCTGACATCAAGATCACTCCTCAAACATCTGAGAACAAACAGCCCGCCATTACCATTCCTAGGAATGWCCTTTCAAGCCCAGCCAAAGAAAATACACAAGTATGTGCATCATAATTTCTAATGTAGTATGATTTGCGATAACTTATGTATTCTTTTGTTTAACTATTTTAGGATCAACCAATCAGAAGYAAAATTCCTAAACTTTCGGATCCATTCAAGTAAGAATCAAGTTTTTGTCCGTGCAGATTTAAATTACTATCTATTTATTGATTAATAGATAAAAATAGTAATCAAACATTTCTTTACCTGAACCTGAAGCATGTTTTGTTTTTTAAAGTRGAGAGAGGCTTGTTCCTTCACCACCAAGATCATTTCTTTCGATGACAGAAGGTAGCAAGATACCTATTCGTATAAACACARGGTAATTGAAAACAGCAATCAAACTGAAACAAGCTAGAAAAACGAAAAAAACTATTAACAGCTCAAGCCAATCCATGAACCGTACAAACTAACGTATGATTATTGTTTTGCTGGACATACAGGACGCCTTTGCCTGCGATCCAAAAAAGTCACACTACCGATGTTCAAGAAAGGAACGTCAAGGAGAAGAAACACAGCGAATCCGTTGAAGAAGAAAAGGTTTCATTTCAATCCTTACATTCATGGTAACATTGGTATAACAATTTACTATATATATATATATTTTTTTTTTCAGAGCCCAAATACTGATACTTCTCCAGCTGTGACTCAAACAAAGCCACACGAAAAGATCGAAGACTTCAAAGTGGAAATATACGAGGGAAGAAAACCTGAGCAAATCCACTCTGAAGAAACAAAGGTAACAATAATATGCGCTTTTTTTAAAAAAATAGCATTGCCTCTGATTCTCGTCTTTTTTGTTCTTATCTTAGAGCCCAAACACGCCTGTCGCTTCGCCTGTCATTGACAAAAAGCCAAACAAAAAGATCCAAGACTTCAAAGTGGAAATATACAAGGGAAGGAAGCCTGGGCAAAGCCACTCAGTTCAAGAAACAAAGGTAACCAGTAAAACCTTTTTTTTAGAAAAATAGCGTTGCCTTTGATTCTCGTATTTGTTTTCTATCTTAGAGCTCAAACACGCCTGTCGCTTCCCCTGTCAATGACAAGAAGCCAATGAAAAAGATCCAAGACTTCAAAGTGGAGATATACGAGGGAGTAAAGCCTTTTCGCAGCAACTCACTTGAAGCCACAAACAAGAACGATGCAATTCAGGAAACAAAGGTAAACAATACAAAGCATTTTCGAGGTGAACTAACGAATTTTGCYAGATTTTCGAAGTTAAWAAGCTCATGATTGTCCGYATGTTTTYMTGAAAAAGCCTGCCTTTCAGTGAAAATTAATCCACGTTTTCTRCCATTTAAGAGCTCAAACACGCCTGTCGCTTCGCCTGTTACCTCCAAAAAGCCAAACAAAAAGGCTCAAGACTTTAAGGTGGAGATATACGAGGGCAAGAAGCCTGTGCGCATCTACTCTCTTGGAGCTACGAACGATGCAACTGAAGAAACACAGGTAAATATTCTAAACTAATTCATCAAATAATTAAATACAAACCGTTGCGGTGCTTTGAGGGCAAGAATGTCATGCCCATACTTTCCCGTTGTGAATTTTACGTTCATATCACTGACTTGTAAACTTTGATTTGTCCTTTACAGAGTGTAAACACTCACGTTACAACGCCTATCATTAGCAAAAAGTCCTACAAAAAGGCAAAAGATATCAAAGTGGAGATTTATGAAGGATCCAAACMGCCAGTACAAAAYGGCGAATCAAGTGACCTTAGCGATGTCAGGAATGAGTCGACACTTGTCAAAAAATTCAACAAAASAGAGGAAAATAAGATAAGCCTGTTGCCTTCAAGATACTCCCCTAAAAAGTTGGTCCCAGACCAAGAGTCTCTTCCTGGAAAGGATCCGATGTGTCTTCCTGGAAAGGGTGTTGATTACAACCAAGAGATGGATGCCATCGTCAAGGAATTCCAAAAATTATATGAAGATTTGCTTCAACTAAAGAAGAAGTATACCAATACTGGACGAGGCTTGGAGGAGGAAAGCAAATCACCAAAGAACATCTTAAAGGATGACACATCTCACGTAACGCAGCTCAAGCAGCTTGTCAAAGAGATGACAACAACAGTCGCCGAGGTTGATGAAGGACTAGACTACGAAAGAAACATCTCACGATCACAAATGGACGACTTTCAGCTTAATTTTAGYAAAACAAAGGAAAAGCTAAATGCCAATCTAGTTTTCCATGATAAAGAACTGCAAATGTTTAAGACAGAAGCTGAGAGATTGACCAAGGATAACGTGGATCTCAAGAAATCTCTTAAAGAGAAAGAAATCTACGAGAACATCGAATTTGAATACATGGAGGGCCTGGTGATGAACAGCATGGGGAAAGACAAGGCTGAAGAGCGCTGCAAAGAAGCATTGGCTGCTAACGACGCCCTTAAAAAAGACCTTACGAATCGCGTGCGTGAGCTGAAGAATCTTCGCAGTGACATTAAGAAAAGAGCCAACTGCCCTAGCAACATCCTTGATGAATACACTACGCTGAAAAACGAAAGAAACGGAATGGATCTCCAATTAGCACAGCTACTGGCCGAYGTCAATGAAGCTGCAAGAAGAAGAATGAACATTGATGCAGCCAATCAAAAACTGAGGAATCACATTGAAAAACTTAATCTCCAGATCCAAGAACTTGGAGGAGAAGTGCCAAATATTCCCGAATGTGAGGTTAAAGCAGAGAAGTTTAAGTTTGGCAAAACGGTTGTACCACTAAAACAAGATTTGACCGATGCTGGCAACAAAGGCAATGACGATAAGCAACATGATGTGCTTGAAGACGACCACACTAACAATGTAAACGACAGTGAAACGCGTGAGGAAATGGTCAATAGAAGAAACGCCGAAAACGAGAAACAAAAGTTGAGTTCAAGTTCAAGCGCGATGGTGGAAAGTGATGCTYTTTCTGTTAAAGGGATGACTACCTTGTTGCACGACATAGCCAAGCWACTAGATGGAAACAAAGTCGATTTATCGCTCACAGTAGAATCTCCTAAAGCAATTCGATTCTATTTCAACTCTGATSTCGTAAATAAAGAGGTAGGGCGATTACAAAGGCAATTCACAATGAGCACAATTAAAGACGCAACAGTCAATGGTAACGGCGTTGTTTACAAGCGCATTGGTAAAAAGAAGGTCAAAGCAACACTGGGGAAGAAGAAAATACGACAATTGATTAATGCTAATGGAAACAACCGCCAAATAACTTGCATAACAGAGGAAAGTTCTGCTTTAAATGAAGACAAAACGGATGAAAAAACTGCTACTGAGATGGAATGCGAGAAAGACGAAATCGTCAAAGACCATGAAATTATAGGAGATRTTATGCTTCTACTTCGTGGTACATCGTTGTGAATGCCACAAATAACAATAACCGAAATACCAAGAGTTATGTACTTGTATATATTGTAAATATTTAATGTTTTATACAGAAAATTAGGCATTAATACGTAAAATGCATTTGTAAAGATTGTATTGAATAAATTTATGAAAACATTCTAGAACGAAGATGGTTATAGACACATACTGAGCTTTCGGAAGTTTTCCAATGTTTACTAATGAATATTTACACAAAATAACAAGAAAATGTATTGAGTATTTATTGCAAACASGATAACCATAAAAAAGGCGCAAAATCATCAGACATCGTTCATGATAAATCGGTTCTTCCGGCTGTAAATCTTTGGCGTGAATCCCATACACAGGGCGAACTCAGTGAAGAGTGCTTTCCCAAATCTCAGTGACTATTTACCCCAATTTTGCATTATTTTGCCGGTGAAGACATATGCTGCGAGAAGCCCAATTCTTGTGGGAATGTACCCCCTATAAGCTAAGGGGAAGCTTTTTGAACTATTTCCTAAGCGCGCTGTGTGGTCTAGACAGTGGTTATTACGGTGCCAAATCCTCAATTATAGCATGAATTAAGCCTATTGTTAGAATTGTACTCACTTAAATATACATATGACAAACGTTTCCTTGTTTAAAGTAAAGCGATTGACTCGGGACTACTGATTAAGATTGCGCGTGTACTGAAGATGGCTGGAAGTAGTCTTAGAACTCATCATACAAAACGTACTCGATATATATTATGATATATACGAATATATATTATATTGCAGGTTAACCAACATTGTTATTAAAACCCTTGTCTGTGCATGATTATCATATATTTGTAGGTATGCCTAACGTGCGTGCAGTTCATAACAATTATATCAATAATTAATTGAATCGAGATTACAGTCTTGTAGGCAAACCAACACCGCGTGAACAAGGGACTTTCGACTTACAAAACACTGTAACTAACAACATCTGCGCATGCCCACTAAAAGTGACTATCGCAGCAAGGATATAARGCTAAACTGAGCATCCTTTAAAAACCATCATTCGTAAAGCGTTTGATTGAATTTACAATCCTTTTTAAAGAGAAAATTGTGAAAATGATGTGATAATGACAATTTTACCAAAAGCACTTCAACTGATGACATCTGCGCATGCTCTAATGATTACCACAGTCGYGTCTACAATTAATTATTAATCGATTATTTGCTTCAAAATTGTAGTCTTGAAAGGRCAACCAACACAGCGCCAACACAGCGTAGTATAGTACAAACGAACGAACYACTGACTTACAAAATCTGGTTACAGAGCATACGTACTACGGGTCTGCGTCGAGAAACGAGGAGCTCGCAGATCAAGAGGAACGTGGGCTCTGGAACGAGATTGACTTAAATGTCGATGTGTGCGCATRCACAAGTAAATATCACTGTCTAGAATAGAATAGAATAGAACGTGAAGAAACAATTAGCTAAAAACTGAGCTACTTTACAGGTTTTTACAAAATAAATACAAAAGGAACTAAATAAATGAATAAAAATAATTTGAATAAAAAAWTATGTATATCATATGTATATATATTATGTCTAGCCTCACACATGTTCAATAATTGATTAAACATTTAACCCGATATCTACAAAGAAAAAAAAATCAACAAAAAATTTTTTATTCTAGTATTGAACTGGGTTGACTGCTAGCAGTGACACAGGTAAAATCTTTTTCATGACAAACTGACATATTACTAAATGAAATGTTACTTTGGAAAACTATATTCACATACGTGTCGGTGAATCGAAGGAACATTTTTTTTTTATTCTATTTATTTATTTATTTTTCATTCAAAAGAACAAACAATTTTCATATCACATCGAATTCTCATTGAACAGCTGTGGGCATGTTTTTCAGGTTGAAATTTGCCAAACATTGGCAGTTTTATTGAGGGTAATAATATTTTATATTCACGCTTTGCGTCTGTCTTTAAGATAACAATTAAAATTAGGTTTAAAGACATGTTCAATGAAAAAGGCGCCCGGAGTCTCTGTACGATATCCGCCCAGTAATGCCAGTATGGAAACAAATGATTCTCAGCCTTTTGTGCAGTCGCACAGACCAGCTTCTTTGACTAAAGTCGATTCCGGWGGCAACAATTAAAAGTTTKAGAATATTAGACCCTTTTGTAGTCTCCTTTAAAAATGACGGCCTTACTGGCTAAAGTACAATATCACTATGGCCTTATGTAAATTAACTAAAAAGTGTCCCAGTAAACAAAGAACCTCCATGAATGCACAATTGCCGTGGTGGGAATCACAATCTTAGCATACAAATTAGGACTTAATAAATTGAAATTGGAATTTAGTCAAGAAAAATCTGTCAAGAGGACGATAAGGTGAAGTAATTTGCCGTTCTTTATCGCACGTCGCTTGCTAAGAGTAAGTACGCATCGTCTAAAAATAACAAGAGTCAAATGTTCAAAACGTTTGTAGATCGAAAGTTAGTTTAAAGTCATACAGTCAGTCATAATGATGCTAATGAGAAAAATATACAACTTGGTCAATTGYACAGACAGTCGTTTCRTCTTGTGTTTTTCTCTGATGAGCGGAAAATTGCGGGTAATTTCATCATATTATATTTCCAATACAAAAAGGTTCAGAACGAAAACAACTACAGCACTAAAAACGTATATTTGGTCATAAATGAAGACATTTATTACTAGTATTTGTTTTGAACCTATTTCTGATCTCTCTTTCGAATAAAAAAGRGTCCCACAAGACTTGCCAATGATTGATAAATATTGGTTACCAGTGATGACGTCTAAGACATGTATTTACACGATAAATACTCCTACTTAAAGGAAATAAATAAATACAGCAAACAAATGTAAAAAAACTATGTATACATTAAAGACAGAGTCTGCTATGCAAATTTGATTCCTGATACAAGTATCGCATCAATTAAGCATCTGGTTTTCTRTAACACRGGAGCTATTTGCATCGCATTTCATTTCATGAAGTGTTGTTAGCGGTTTTGTTTGTGTTTTTAAATTGGAAAGCAATCYATTGGGATTACAATAAAGATTTCGTCAGTATGTTCAGACTATGTGGGATTATATGTCCTTTATACTGAAATGGAAAACACTTTCCTGTGTGGTATTTTATTGGCTTCAATGGTCCGATTTTCAAACGTTGTATTCCTCCGGCATTTTTACTCCGATATCTGTCTGTTTTGTTTTGTTTGTTTGTTTGTTTGTTTTTAACGCATTGAAGGCTGGAGCTGATTGTACAATTTTCCTCAGAATATCTATGAATCTAGCAAAAAAACTTCTCATGACATCAAAAAGACTGCAGGCACTTATGCGCAATAGTTTCTCAAAGCTTTTATTGTAATTCTCATCAGCATTCTTTTTTGTCTATGTAAGGCATTATTTCTTTAATTCAGACAACTTATTTCATACCCCTGCACAAAGTGCACAAAGTACATTTTAATAGTTCCGTCGTTTTCGAGAGAGATGTCTCACAATGATATTCGTTTTTAATCGCTARGAAAATACATATTTGTATAGGGTATTTGTATGGTACCTTAAGGCATTTCGYTAATGAAACCGTGAGAAACTTCAGACATGCGACGGATAGAACACTTCTAACTCTTTCTCATCACTCGTCWCCGATTTTGACTTCGAGGCAAAASCAATCTAACATAGGGCAAGCTGACGAGCTCATTTTTCGAAAAACTATGCATACAAAACCAAAAGACAGGAATTTTGGTAACATTATACGTGAAATGCCAATGGTAAACTAGAATTTTTTTCCAGAAAAAAGGCGATTTTATCATATCAAATTAGATTAACTTCCTTAGATTCTTGGTATTTGTGCTATAAAATGATATTTGTTTTGATAGTACAACCTAAAAA